ACTTGCTTACGAAGATGTTGTCTGCATAATTTAGTCGTTGATCATTAATTGCTGGAGCTTTAGAAATACTTTAATCTTAGAATTAGAGGAGGTTTTCTTATATTTTCCTTGCAATATAAGTATTTTTGCTATGCTTTTTGTTTGTTCTCATTAACAAGTTTACTGTGTATTGGTGGATTTTCTCCCAAGTATTTTGCATAATCTGTAACAGCAATACGTAATAATCTTAAAAATTTTGCTATTGCAGAGCTGAATAAAGAAGAGCTGATTTCTGAACTTCTACTTCCACATCCCCAACCTACAGTTGGTTTCTCTAAGGATTGTTTCTCCCAGTACAAAAACGTAGTCACAGAAAATCATGGAGAGATTTCTGATGGATTTTTCACGGAAAAAGGTTTCAAGGCACAGGATGCGCCAATGGTTGCAACTGTCAGCAATGAGAATCGTGCTCAATGTGCCTCAATTGGGCTTCCTGAGCTAGATGTTATCAGCACCTCGCCTGTGGATGAGACAGATGAAAGGTTTTTAAACATTTGTCATGCACCAGATCAATCACTAGCTAGATTTCAGAGGTCAAAGTCTAGACAACAGGCTCTTGAGTATCGGAGCAGTGCAAAGGCACAAGCTAAGAGTCGCTTAAGCAATGAGAATGGCAATGATGTTCCTCCTAACAGCATTAGATTATCTATTTCTGCTTCCAAGCAGAATGACGAGGCTTCAAAATTGGCTGAACCCCGTGATATCAGTTGCAAAAGTTGTGGGGACTGCGATTTGGATCAAGAAAATTGTCACAGCAAGGAAAAGGGGATGAATATTGACACTGGTAGAACTACTAGGTCTAGAAGTTCTAACGAAGTCCAAACTTTTGTAAGTGATTCTACTGCTGATGCTGAAGCAGGTAGTTCCTGTGATGATGCCAAAGCAAGGAAAACAAAATCAAGGTCTATATATGTTTCTATGCTGGGTGACTGCATTAATGAGTTTTTGATGGCCGAACCATTTGCTAGCAGTTGTCAAACTTGTGGAGAAATGGAACTCAATGAAAGAGATTGTCAAAGCAAAGAAACACACATCAATTCTAAAACTAGTGCACATGCTAGGTCTAGGAGTTCTGGTAAACCTCAAGGTTATGCTAATGATTCTTTGATAATAAATTTCTCTTCTGGTGATACTGACAGGATGGATCATACCATAGTAGATCCCATGGTTAAGTTACATGTAGACTATGTAAATGGGTCAATTGCAGCAATTAGTTCTTCTAATGGCCCCACCGAAAATTTCATGGCCCGAGAATCTATGTTAGAAGATGGGAGAAGGCACAAGGAAAATGGCGCTGATCTTTCCTTCAGTAGGATCACAAGATTCAGCAGATCTGTCCAACAGAATCCTGGTATGGGTGCGGATCTGGATTTGGCTCCTCACTCTGCCAAGGCCGATCGTAGAATGCTTGCTCCAACAGTTGGCTCATCAATGGAACATCTTAACGTATCTAATGAGATGTTGGGGTTGGTTAAAACTTCTGTTGGGTTGATTGGTAGAGTGACTATGTCTCAGACTAGGTCGGGTGACAAAGGCATAACAGAGCCTGTCAATAGATCTAATAGTTCTAGCCAGGGGGACAAAGATGATCAGAATGCTTCAGGTGGTCAAATGCTCCAGCCTTGTGGTGAAACCCATGATGTTGTTACCTTGAAGGGGAATGCTGAAATTCTTGTGGCTAATGACCTTGTTTCACTTGATCTTGTTGGAGAACAGTCTGTAAGTTCCAGTCTTAGTGACGCCAAGCGAAGAAGAGAATTTGAGTATCATGTTGCATGGGCTCCCTCTGATTGTTTTATGGTTGTGAAGCCAAAGCAACTCAATTTTGATGACATGGAAGAGCACAACTCAAATGAAACCTCCACTTCTATTTCCACGAAGATAATACTTGACAGCTCACCAGTAAATATATGTTGTTCTTTGTTAGAACATGAATTATCACTAGATAAAGATTTTTCTTGTAATGTCAATCAATTATCTTTACATAAGAAGTCATTAGAAGCGTTGGAGGTCTCAAAAAAAGGAAAGGAAGATTGGAGGGGTTCTTTTGAATCTGATGTCAACAGGCAATTCGAGATCCAGATGGAGAAAGATAGATTGGTAATGAGTGAGCACCCTATGTCAATAAGTTTTGAAAATGATGCTGGGGCTGTGGGGCAAATTGAAAACTCTCAAATGTTACAGAAGGCAGATATTTTCTTATCAAATGCTGTACCTGATATAGAGATCCATCAGGCGGAACTTCATTTGAACCAAGGGCATGATGCCTCACCAGATATGCTCATTGAAAATGTAAGTTCTAATGTTCTCTTTCGCTTATTTTAATGCTTATCCTATATAGTTCATGCATGTCTGTTTTTTACCCATCGATGCGAAAGTTGCATCTTGTATGCATACACATGTACATTTGTTTTGAGTGTGTTAGCTAGCCTATTTGTAGGTGGATTTTTTAGTTAATGGTTGTTCGATATTTCTCTACACAGAATAAAATTCCAACTTCTATCCAACACACATATCTTTCTTGAAACTTGTATGGATGAAGACCTTGATCTATATGGTTAATTGTTGTTATATAAACATTCAGAAAGATTTCATACAAGGCCTCTATAATATCCCCAAGAGGTTTGAGCTGTCCTGAGTGTTTTTCTATTTTTCGTCTGGTCTTTGATTTACTCCACGTGTTGACTTCCAGAAGTTTGTAAAAGATGTAGAGTAAAATCACTTATTTTAGTATGAACGTTGGACTCATTCAGCTGATGATTAGATATAAGTGGTAGGTATGTTGTGGAAATTTACTGGGGTGTTTATAGCAGCCTATGATCTATATGGAAATAGGATTATCCATTTTGGTTGTTGTCAAACCAATCATCTGCCAAATTGAGAAATGGTCCAAACTAATCTTCTGCATGTTAGTGGGGATGGCTTGATTGAAATTGCAGGGAGTACATTGGTCGGCACACTCATAGTATTAATTTTCGTTCTTTTAATCCAGTACAATTGGTAAGCCTTTAACTAAAAAATATTCATGCATAGGTTGGATGTGCCTATTTCCTCCCAGAGCAAATTCACATTTAGCCCAAAACTTAGGGGCAAGTAAATTTTTTCTACAAAACATGCACGCTAAAAATTATTGATAAGTAGTTGATGGATTGTATGTTGGTAGCCTTCCTTGCTATTCGTGCACCACCATTTGTTGCCTTTTCAGTAAATTCCTGTTTACTGGAAAACTTTCCACTGCTATAAGAGTGACATCAGTTCAGCGTTAAACCCTCCATCTGGTTGACAGGGTGCATATAATTATGAAGGCAAGGATGGGGGTAAATCTGAATACCATGTCTCTAACAGCCAAAATGTTTGGCCATCTTATTTGTCAAATTCAACCAACCAGGCAAGTGGAGATTCCAAAGATTGCTTGATTGAGAAAGTTGGAAGGGCAGATTCAACCTGCATTGTCCTTGATGAAAAAAAGCAACTTCCTCTTGGGGAGACACAAATTTTCTCATGCCTGGATGGTGAAGTTTCTAGTAAACATGCATACAATCTGTCTTGTGACAGGAGAGACTTGGATGGGAGTCTACCTCAAGAAGAGAATGATGGAACAGCAGATTCAACCTGCATTGTCCTTGATGAAAGAAGGCGACTTCCTCTTCAGGAGACTCAAAATTTCTCATGTCTGGATGGTGAAGTTTCTACTAAACATGAACACAATTTGTCTTGTGACAAGATAGACTTGGACAGGAGTCCACTTCAAGGAGAAAATGGATTATTAACATGTAATTCATTTGGGTCTTTGCACCGTGAAGATGAAATTATCAATATTTCAAGTGCAAGTGCTCCTCAAATTACGAAGAAGCACTCACCACCTGAAAGAATATTCAGGCCTGCCGAAGAGCTTTCATGGCCTCAGAATAAGAGGAGAAAGATTGAAGATCAGCAAACTAATAGTTTTACCACTTTCCCAAGTTTTAGGGTACAAAAGCCTTACTGCATTCAACTGGACCCTACAGCTTCATGTTTGAATAATGCTGAAACCAAAGGTGATGCTGTCTTCGTGGATGCATTTAAGGAGGACAGGAATTTGATGGAAGTCATTGAGTCGGCACCTGAGTCTCATATTACCAAGGTACATATTCTTCCATTATTCTTATTATTCCTTGTTTTTTGATATATTTAGATAGATATCCTGCAGCAGAGCAAGGAATTAAGCCTGATTTTCCGTGTCATGTATTCAACTGGAAAGCAAGGCTTTCCTTTCGAATGTTGCTTGACATATCTGGATGCAGTGCAAGACGACATTTTTTTAAGTATGTTTGCCTGGGCTTTCTTTTTGTAGCACAGTTTGTTGGGTATAAGTATAAATTCTTCCATGAAGCTCTTAAAGCTTGATTCTGATTTTCTATAATGATATATGTGTTGTAGTACATTGCATAGCATATCTAGCTTTCATGTTCTCAGTTAGGACTTCTGGAATGTAGATTCTATGAAGATCTTATCTCATGGTTTTGACAATTAACATAAATCAGATTGGAAGTGCTGTCAAATAGAATATAATGGTCAGCTATCTACTAAAATAATTATTTTGTATCCTTTCTCATCTATGATAGTGAACTTTCTGTATATTTTCCTCAATGTATGGGCAAATAAATGAAATCAGATTGCGTGTGTTTCAGTGAATGTAACTTGTAATCATAATTATACCTGGAATATGAGGGCACTTAAATTACCTGTTTATATTATCTTCGGCTGTGTAGAACTTTAATGGAAGTGAATAAATAGCTTTATATTATCTCTTATTTTACAGAAAGATGGGGAATAATTTAATGTGACCTAAATATTTAAGCATTATTTCGACAAAACACCCTCAGCTGCAAGCCTCTTGTTTGATTAATGATTTCATTGGCCGATATGCATTTTGTGAGGTTGTGTGAGATTCTAATATGCATGTTTGGACTAAGCGGCTCTTTGATTTAGAAGTTGATTAAACCCTTTTGTTTCCCATTTTTCCCCCATTAAAATGAAAATATGACCGTTATCTATTACATCAAGCCACCAAATTTGAATTTCTATCTTTTGTGTGAGGTCCATAATGACTATATTTTTTATTCTCATTTTTACAAAAATGAGAAACAAACGCCCCCTTAATATGGAATTGAAACTGTGAAATATCATTTAGGGTTCCTCCCTTATCATGTAACTGAAAGTCAACCTTTGTTAGCGGAAGATCTGATGTCTCTAGAAACAAATCTCCCTTGGATATCGTGTATTCACAGGTAGCTCTTTTAGCTTTCTGATGCAGGAGCTCCATTCACGTCAATGTCTATGCAGGGCACCTTTTGTTTTGAAGAGGAGAATAAACATAGACAGTCCTCCTTTGCTACCGATCACAAACAGTCAGGGGCATCCCTCGTCTTGAGTTCAACTGAAGATGATGCTAGAGGCACAATAGGATGTTTGGCTAAGGAAGTGAGAACTCAATCTCCGGGTAGCAACTTTTTAGATATAACTAAACCCCATGATGAACAAAGTAGACAATACTTGTTACCTCTTGATAACAATTTTGATCTGCCAAATTCTGCAAATTTGGCTTGTTTTGAGAACACCCTTCCTGAAGGAAATTCCCATCAGGGAGAGGACAGGCTACTTTCACAATGCTCAGCTCCTTCTCCTAATGATAAAGACCTGGACTTTGTTGATGTTGATCAAACTATGCCTGTGTTGGAGGGATTCATTGTGGATGCACAAGAAGATAATGGAGAAGTGAACATTGCTGGTGATGGAATTGACTTCGACAAACTGAACCTTTCTAGGACTACAATTGAACGTGCCAGTATTCTGGCACATATTTGCAAATCTGCTAGCACAGATACACATTTATCCCACTTCTCATCTTGTTTCGAGTTTCAGGGAACCCATGATTTATTTCAATCTGAACCAAATGGTCTTCTTGAGCGGTTGGATACTTCACCTTTGGATATAAATGTTGACGAACAGTTTGGATTTGATGACAGTGTTGTGAATGAATCTAAAGGGATGCTATATTCTGATTGTCTACCATATTCTGGTGCACAATTTGCTTGGCATTCAGGTAATCGTTATGCATCTCCAGCTGGGAAGCTATGGGAAAAATTGTCTTCATACTCTGGAAATTCAGAGAAGAGTTTGAGTTCAAATCCGGAGCTAACATGCTTCCCTATTGATGAGGATTTCAGTGCAAGTGAAGAGAATAAGACTCTGGATGAGAAGGCAGATGAAGTCCAAGAAGAGGTTGATTCATCAGACAATAGTCATTATGCTCAAAGAGAACCACTCAAAGATTTTACAAATTCAAGTCTAAATCCTCATGCACTGGCTTCTGCAGATGAGATGTCTCTGAGCAGAGATAGTGTGGGTTATTTTAACACAAAAACTAGCTTCACTGGGATCCAAACTGAGGTCAAACAAAAATCTGAAAGTCTCTTAAGAAATAACAGTGAGGCAAAGGAAAACCAGAAGTTATCCATAGGAGCAAATAAAATCAAGAAGGCCAAGGAATCATTTAAAAACAGTTTCAACAAAAGAAATTTACCACGCAGAATCAGTTTGAGACAAGAACAAAAGCTTTCATTGAAGGAGCCTAAGAGGAACAACATTATTTTAAATGTCTCTTCATTTGTCCCGCTGGTACAACAAAAAAAAGCAGCTGCAGTATGTGCAGGTTGTTTTTTTTCTTTCCTTTGCATGGTGCTTTATATTTCTTTATCCTTTCTTAGGAATTTCATTTGTTCTTAAACAACTTGATGCAGTAAACTCACTAATTGCATTGTTCTTGCTCATTTTGAAGTATTCTCCATTTTATACTTGTCTTATATTATGCTTCTATTTTATTTCCTTCTTTTGTAAATGTATTAGTGCAGTATGTCTTCGACTCCCTTGCATCTCCTTCTTCTTCAGTTTGTGTTTTTGCTCTAAGAGGGGTGTAAAACTTGTAGTATCTTACCTAAAAATATTTTTATCATTTTATGTATATGATAATAAGGATTAAGTATTATATGATGCAACCATATTACATTTTAGGGTTTGGGGTATTGCATAAATGGTGGTTTCTCTTTGGCACATTTCCTTCTTTTGTGGTGTGGGATAAAGTTTCCAGTTCTGTATAGTTGATAATCATGGATAGCATGTTACAAAGTTGTTTAGAAGGGGTGTAAGATACTTTTGGGTTTTGTATATTTATCTATTTCATATATAGTTTAGAACTTATTATGTTTCAGGAAAGAGAGACATCAAGGTGAAGGCTCTAGAAGCTGCAGAGGCTGCAAAGCGTTTGGAAGAAAAAAAAGAGAATGAACGCAAGGTAAGAAAAGAAGCACTGAAACTCGAGCGAGCAAAGATGGAGAAAGAAAATATGAGACAAAAAGAGTTGGACAAGAAGAAAAGAGAGGAGGAAAGGAAGAGAAAAGATGCTGATATGCAAGCAAAGAAAAGGCTGAGAGAGGAAGAGGAGAGGAAGCAGAAGGAGAAGAAAAGAATGAGAATTGAAGTTAGGCAAAGACAGCAGAGAGAACAGGAAGAAAAAATGTGTGCCGAGAAAGCAGAGAAAGAAAAACAGCATTTCAAAGTTGTAAGTTGTTCTATATTACTAGTAAACCTGGTTGCTTTTTGCGTCGTGTTTCCATGACCTCACTTATGTCGGTTATATTCTAGCATGAACAAGTGAACACTAATAAGGAGCCTAACAATGAATCCAAAAGGCTGCAAAACCGGGATGAAGCTGGAGATGATGTTGCTTTCAAAGAAACAGAGACTAAATCTGTACCATTTGGACTTGCAATGGATAGTGTCCAACAAACTACCATTCCTTTTGAAGAATGTGGCGCTCCTTGTGAAATTGGAAAGGTGTTGGAAATTTCCATTTCTGTCTAATTCAAATCTTATTGTCTGTCTTATCTTCTTTGATGTTGAGCCTTTTCAGTGAAAACGACCCATAATAATGGAACAAATAGAATGATGAGCTTACAAAGATATTTAGTGTTCATGGTGTCTAGTCTACAGGGATGTCGAAAAGATTGGATTTAGTTGTTTAATTTATTTCTACTTATGTAACACCTTCTAGTTTGCCTATAAAGAAATTTAACTTGGCACTTTTTTAGGGTCAAAACCACATTCAAGATACTTAGTTTCAGTTTGGCCCTCATTTTTCAGAAATGAAAATGGGTGAAATAGTATTTTTTCGAAAAATAAGTGGTTGAAAAAGAAGGAAAAGTTTTCGATTTACGTATAATATTATTTTATGGAAGACTGTGTAGTTGAAAATAGGAGAGAGAAAAATGGAATATAATGTAATGAAATTTAATGGGGCCCAAACTAAGGCTAAAAAGGAGTTCTTTTTCAAGTTTTCATACTGACATTTTCACTTTACATTCCTTTCCTAGGCTACGGA